TTCTTTCCTGATTGTTCCTGCCCCGCAGACCCATGCTCAGCTTGCCACAGGCTCCGGTTGGCTATCGCCACTGTGCCATGGGGCTTGTGCCATTTTGCAGGCCCACCAGCAATATACAAAGGCATCTGTTTCTCCATAGCCTTGCCAACAGCTTATGTTCTTACATTCATGAACTTTTGCTAATACGATAGGTGAGAAATGTTGTGTCAGTACAGCTTGGTTTGCATTTCTCTTGTTTTGAGTAATGTGCATTTCGAGTGAGTGAAAGTGGTGCACTTCTTGTCTTCATTTATGTGATTAGCTCTCACTGAAATGCCCACAAACCCTGACCTCTCTCTTCTCTGACTGAGGCTTCATATTTCAAACCCTGGCTATAACATCCCCTTTTCTTTGATGCTACGGATCTTTCAACATAGGATTAATTGTTCCCTGTCAGCACTCCCCTGGCACGTTACATCTAGTTCACGTGTGCCCCGAAGGGGTGTTCCTTGGTCTCCTTCAACTTTTTCTTTCCAGTGACTAACAGTGTCTGGAAAATCATCCATGCTTACTTGTCATTTGTCGGATTAATTGAATAATGATTTAAGGAAAGTATGGCATGAGAAAGTATCTGGTTTGAATTTCAACTGGATTAAAGTTAAACAAGTTGCATCCTTGTTGGCATTGATGCTATTCATGATTTTCTCAAATGAGCAGTGTTTGTAATGAAAGAAATGCAGCATTTCAGGATATTTAAAAGGTTTTTTCCAGTTGTTTTAACTGTAATAAATAACTATTGAATAAAAAGCACAGTGATGTTTTATTGTGTCATTACAGAGTGGGCTGATCTTCAAAGTCCAAAAGAAACCTGTGGTGTGGACAGAGTCAGTGCCTAATAATAACTGAAAGACTGACCCATAGCATTGGTTCTATAGTGCTAGGTAACATCTGTTAGCCCTGTCAGAGAAAATATCCCTAGAACTATACAAAAATTTGTAGAAGAACATTTTAATCAGAACGGTTTTTAAAATGTTATTTTCAGGTCTATTAACTAAATGTATTCTGTTGTTTCACTGACTGCCAAGTAAATGGTAAGGCACTGGTTAAGAAATATTTGCCTTTTGCACATAGGAAATAGGAGTTTCTAATGGAAATGATGAGGTTGGAAATTTCAGCTATGGTAATTAAATGCTAAATTGTTTTGCTGGCTTTCTTATGTCATTTTAGTGACACTGGATTTCTCATTTTGAGAGATGGTTCCTCTGTCCTTTGAAATAGGCAGGATGGGGGCCTCCCTCGTGGCACAAGAGGTTAAGCACCACGCTATGAAGCAGTCTGCAGCCTCTGCAGTACAAGTTCGATCCCTGGTTGGCCAGGGAGCAACCCACATGGTGCAGCAGACCTCTCCTGACTTGCCCACTGTTCCCCTCAGCAGTGTATTTTGACAGTCTGCCTGTTCTGTTCCCCACTCTGTCTCTGGTGAATCCTCTCACCCCCACATCTCTGGCCTGTACCCCAGTTCTTGTATGCATAAATAAATAAATCTTTAAAAAAATAAAGTAAAATAGGGAGGATGTAGTCAGGGGTGGAGGGAGGGAAGTGAAGATGGCATGAGGATAATAATTGTCAGCGTGAGAATTAGAATAACAAGGGGCGGGAGTAGGCGACAAAGAGAAACTTGTTCCTAAGAAAAAATATGAACGTGGATACAAAGATAGAAACGACCTCGATGTTTTATTTAAGCAAAATCATGGTATTTTGCTTAAGTGAATCACACAACTGTTACCATGATTAGAAATAAAGATCTTTAGTGAAACTATGAAATATTTAATAAGATGTTAAATGAAACAATAGATTATATGTTTTTATCTACCCTCTGTATGTAAATATATAGAAACATACATATATTTGAGGGAAATGCCAAAACATGAAAATTGTGGGGGTAATATACATATTTGTTGCAACTGTTATTGTAGTTTTTGTTATAAATATTGTGCTATAAAAAATAAGTACAAAGAATGTATTCAATTTAGAGCAAAACCAAAACAAAGTGGAAGAAAAAAGAGCCAGTCTCTTTTTCACCAGTTATTTATGGAACGAATCATAGAATTTTAGAACTGGAATTCTTCTCTGATCTCAAATTTTTGGTCTTAGGACCTCATTACAGTAAAAACTAATGAAAACCCCAGAGAGTTTATATTGTGTTCAATATTTCTATATTAAATATTAAAAATGAGATATTTTAAATAGTCATTGTTTTTAAAAAATAGCAATGATAAGACTGTTACATGTTAGCTTAAATAAAATGCCTTTATGAAAAATTGCCCCAAAAATTTAATGAGAAGAGCGCCATTGTTTTATATTTTTGAAAATTTCTTTCATATTTTAGATATTGGCTCCGTGGAGACAATTGGATTCTTTGTTTTCTTACCCATTCAGTCTCTGTGATCTGTTGTTTGTTTAAAGTACAGAAAGAAAATCTGATCTCCAACAGATAAGAAGTTGGAAAAAGGAGGAGTATTTAAATAGCTTTTTCAGAAATTGCAGCTAGGACACATTGCCCTGGCAAAAGCCCATTGTACACTAATGAGGGAATGAGGTTGAAAAGACAAATAATGTCGTAGTGTTATTATGATAATCATTTTTGCCTCGTGGACTCCCTGGAGATGTTTTAGGTAGGGGGTGGCGTCAGGCTGACCACACTTGAGAACCACTGTTCCAACCCTTGAAATCCAAGAAAACTGAAAGCATAATGTTATTAAGTGATTTTCCCCAAACCCATGGTTAATGGAAGACAGAGCAGTGGGGCATGTTCTTCTGGTTTCATTCCTCTTACTTTGGGAGAAATTCAAATGATAGTAAGACCTTAGGGGAATTTTTAGAAACTGATCCTCAGTGTATATATGAGAATCTTGTGAGATATCAAATGTAACCTTGGGAGCTTAAAAAAAAAACACTCCATGATAGGCAAATCAAAACTTTTTAGAATAGCAGCAGTGGATTTATAAATATGTAGTTTTTAGCAAATATAATTTATACCATATATTTAACTTTTATTTACCACTTTTTACTGAGCTAATGAACTTTCTAGCATCTTTTTTCTCAATGACTTAAAATACACACTTTTAATTTCACTTTGGTTGCAGTTATTTGCATATCCATAATAAGAAGCATTTTCATGTCGGGACTTCCATTAAAATGTGGTGACTTTCTGATTTAGTTTTGAATGCTGTTCGCTTATTTCTCCCAGATTCCACTGAGCTCTGAGCAACATCAGTGACTCGGATATTAAGATGGAAAACACCGTGAAAGACCTTGTTGAGCCTATTTGAGTAGCTTTTCTCAAGCCTCACCTTTGGCGCTCACTGCTCTAGGCAGAGCGCCTTTGACTGGAGAAGCTGCTGGTGTCTGGCGCTGGCCAGCTTCTCTGTGCTGCCCATCAGTGCTGCCTGCAGTCTGGCCTGCATCTGAGGTTTCCCTCCTCAGTCCTTCACCTTTTTTTTCATTTGTTTTTATTGCAAAAGCCACTTTCTTCTGCTTTCCCTCCCACTTCTACTCTTTACCAGTTCCTTCTTTTTAGAAAATAGTTTCAATTGAATGACTTCCAATTTACATATACCAGAGTCATAGTTGCCAAGTCACACAGAAGTAAGTCTGTGTAGCCTGGGTTTAGGGTGATGGGAGCTGTTGCTCGGAAGATACCGGGGTATCCTGATGAAGCCCCATTTTTACTTTGTGTTTGATATATTCGTGGTCTGTCGCTAATCAAAGTTAGTTTTTTTTTTTCCCCAAAGGTTTATGCGTATGAGAACTGGGGCAGCTAAACTTTTTTATACCCTGTTTTTCACTACAAGAAAAGTGGTAGTACTGGGAACAAGGTTACTTGGGAGAGAGTGAGAGGAAATTCTGGGTGCCTTTTGGCCTCACCCTACTCCTAGTCCTCAGCATCCCCTCCCACCTTTGAATGGTGGGAAGAGGACTTGGGAAGGACCTGCTCGTGGCCCTGTTGTCGCTTTTCTTCTTCGGAATAAAGTTTGAAGTTGGAGCCTGGGCGCCCAGTCGTGGGTACAGAACGCTCATTGCCTTTTCCTTCTCTTTTCCTTTCCTGTTGGAATTGGAAAGGTGTTTCATAGGTAGGAGGAAATAAAAAGATTGATCAGTTTGAAACATTGTTGGGAATCTACATTATATGGCTTTTTTCTAGACTGTTTTCTAATTTTTCATATTCATATAGGACACAATTATATCAATGTTTGACATACAATGGAAGCCTTTAAATCTTTCACATCCTCTGTATTTGTTTAAAAGAACACAATCACGATGCACCAGAAAGATCCAGTCTAGGTGGGGAAGTGGTATAATGGAGGGAAGAATGGCTTGGACACTTGGATACTGAGGTTCTAATATCATCCTAGTTATCACTGTTGCTGCAATGTGTTCAAATAACTTTACTCTTTGAACTTTCTATTTTTCTACTGTAAATGAGAAAGTTGCTCGATGAAGTCTAAGAGTGGTTGCCCTTTATTATTTATTATTGTTCTTAAACTACTAATTATTATGTGCCAGTTGGGTGTCAGACATTGAATGCCCCAAATAGGGACCAGAGCTCTTATTCCCATGATGTTTTATAGTCAGGTGTGGGATGTGTGTCTCTCCCCACTGGGTAATAGTCCAGAAATTTGAAGGACACCTGAGTTCAATTCCTGACTCTGGGTTTGGGTAGGACCTTTGCAAGTCATTTAACTACTTTGTGCCCTTTGTTACCTCATCTGTATTACGTGTTTGATTTGCCTGATGCAGTTGTTTAAAGGCCCAAGTCAAAAAATGTACATGGAAACGGATTTGAGTGCTGCAGTGTGGTATAGTGTGTCTGCAGTAATGTCAAACACTATTTTGTTTTGCTGTAAAATTTCACATGTAGTGTGTTAAGGCTTGACTGGGAGACTCCAAAATTAACCTAATCCTGAACTTCAGAGATAGCTGAAAAATGTAAAGTATATTTGTGTTTCTTCTCTTCACAGAAAAAGATAATGCTCAATATGTTTTTAGACACGATGATGGCCGACCCGCCTCCCCAGTGCCTTGTCTGGCTACCTCTTATGCACAGGCTTGCCCACGTCGAGAACGGTGAGCAGCGCTTTTATCATTCAGTTTCTCGTTCTACGGGAAGGGTACGAGCTGGTGTTATTTGTCATGTCCTTAGCTATTGTCATTGGACATTAGTTGACATTTGCTGATGTTGTGCTATTTGAATTTGTGGTTTTAGCTTTCAAAAGGGAATATTTATTTCTCAAAAAGAAAAAAAAGGAGAGGGGTAACTGCTTAGGATACGGAGAGGTGGTTATATAAGGCCTCAAAACTTTGTGGCTCAAAATCCAGGCTTCCCCCTGAGATTCCAGGTGGTTATGTTCTGCTGGAGCCCTCCTGAGTTAGCCATGCTCCCTTTCCACCTTTAATTTATGAAAGTCATAGCTGTAAAAAATTGGATAAATGCGTTGTCAACCACGATGACTATAGTTGTTTTGGAATCTTTTTTTTTAAATTGAGGTAATGTTAGTTTACAACACTCTATGTAATTTAGAGGTATAGATTCACCCCTCTGCAGATGTGTGTCACCACACCACCCCCACCGAGACACAGAGTTCTCCACAGTGCATGGGGCCCGACCCGCCCTGCTGTCCACGCCCCTACCTTCTTCCACTGTAGCCCAGTCCAATTTCTAGGGTTTGTTACTGGTTTGGTGGGAAACGAATTATAAAATTATTGTAATTTTAGTTTTTTGTTGTTGTTGAGACACTGGAATTCCTATACAATTCATTCTTTGAGTGGCATTGAAGTTAATTTTCATAAGGACAAATATTCATTTGCTTAAGCAAAACTTGTGCTTTCTCTGTGGGTTTACTAATGTAAATGTCCAGGACATAATAAGCTAACTACCATGTGAGACTCCTCCAAAAAGAAAACTTTCACCAAAATCCATTCTCACCAATAATCGAGTCAGCACACCTGTGTGTCCTTTCCTCATTCTGGGCCTCTTGTTTTTCCACCTTGTTCCCATCCCGCTGACTGGTGTAAGCGCTGGCTCTTAGAAGAGGAAGAAGAATCACATAGACATGCACGTTCAACTAAAATTATCCGCATGTATTTTATGATTTAATATTAACCCAGGATTATGACTTAGAATTCTAAATGTTGTATGCACTGATGTTGATGGCATTGATCTTAGACCCAGATTGATTTGGGGGTGGTGTTCTCTGAAGGAACTCTACTTAATAGAGTGTAGTTTCAGTTTGCAGGATAGATTCTTAGTCCTTCCATATTCCTTAGAAATATCTTGTGGACAAAAAACTACAATTTCTTGCAATAAGTGTGTCCCTTGGAGGTTTCATTCCTGATTTTACTTTTCTTTCACTCTCCATGATGATCTTGTATTGTTTTCTTTGCCTAGTGCCATTCTTTGTGGACTCTTGATTCTCTAGTTGCTGTACATTTTTGGAAGCAGGGCTGAGAATCTATAGAATTCAGACAGGACTGACTTTATATATGGAGCCCTCAGCAGAGCTGTTCAGGGGAAGACCTGAATGCTGAGCCCGCTCTCCTGTTGACTTCATTGCTTGTGTTCAGAGGGAATGGCCAGTGGGAACAGTCACGCTGCCCATGCTAAGAAGTAGAAATAATAATCTGTAGTATGCAGGTGTGACCTGAAGACCCGGGCAGCTTTTCATGAGAGAAGGTGCTGTGAGGTGGAGGGAAGAGCAACAGGTCACTGAGTTTCTTTTCCTCCAAATCACGGTCCCATCATTGGTTTTGAGGACTTTAATTTATGCTGTTACTTAGACCTCTTGCCTAAAACTAGTATTTCAGTATGTCTAGCCTGCCTTTTGTCCAGTTGCCATCTGTGCTCAGGGGTGTGGTGGCATTCATTCATTAAAAATCTGAGGCTTTGGTCCAAAGTACTAAAGAAGATAGAATTTGTAGGCACTAAAGACACACAGCAATGGTCCTGGCTCTCTTGGATTTTTCAGTGAAATATCTGCACAACTAACGATAATATCTCTTGCAACATGAACAGCAGTAAATTTGAACAAGAAGTTTGGGAGTGAGTCTTTCTCCTCCTTGTATATTTATCTGAATTTCGGGAAACACATGTTTCATTTAAAGATAGAAATTGGTTGTTTTCTAAGGTAGTTTTCTAACATAAACATTTTTTGCCAAGTCTTTTCCTTTCAGTCTTTTTGACTGATAAATGATCAGGAAGATTAACTAGGAGACCATTTAGATTCTTGAGTTATAATTTTGCTTTCGTGTTTGTCTTTTTACATTAGATAAGGTTTTTCACTGTATTTTCTGCTCCAAATGAAAATTGTCTCTCTCTCCCCCTCCTCTCGCCGCCCGGACCCCTGCTCTCCGGCTCAGTCTTCCATCCCGTGGAGTGTTCCTATTGCCGCTGTGAAAGCATGATGGGCTTCCGGTACCGATGCCAGCAGTGCCACAACTACCAGCTCTGCCAAAACTGCTTTTGGCGTGGCCATGCCAGTGGCCCTCACAGCAACCAGCACCAGATGAAGGAGCATTCCTCTTGGGTAACTGCTTCTATTTCAGTCTGAGTCCTCAACCGTGACTCTCTTTCCTCATTTGCACCAATTCCCTGATAGGTGCCCACCCAGGAGGGAGCGGTGGGCGGATAGGATCTTACCACGGTTATGACAGGGCTTGCAAGTAGGGGGTGCTTCATCACTGGGCTTTAAAACACAAGTGAAAATCCAAGAGATGTAGCTATTATTATTTGAGATGGTCCCTTTTATACAGTAAAATGGAATGTTGCAGTGAAAAGTTAGTTTCTTGTTTTGAAACTGTATAAAGATGTCACCCCAGATGTCTATTCTTTGAGCTCTAAGTAAGATTTAAAGTTCTTTATTCAAGCACATTTTTCTCATGTTTGTAGGGTATAAATGTTACCAAGAAAACTGTGAAATAACAGTGTTAAAATTTTCTCTCTCTGAAGTTAGGGAAAATATTGTATCTTACTATTTCCACATTAGTGCCCTTATCTTCAAAAGTTGGCTTTTGAGTTGCAATATTTGAGAGGTCAATATCTGGGTTTTTTGCGGTGTTTATAAATCACATAACATGCTTAGTGTTGGTCATTTTACTTCTCCAATTTATTTTGTTTTTAAAGTGCTGTGCTTTTATTTCTAAAAAAAGTTACTGTAGCCTTGATTTATTTTTCATTTGGTTTACTAAAAAGTAGAAAAATATATAGGTGAGAAGAATAATTCAGGATATAGGGTTATAAGCCTGGTCATCCTGTAGGACTTCAAATATTAGGAAACTTCAAAAACCACGTTCATATTAGGGATTAGTTTGGAAATACAAAAGAACAGGGTACACTTTACTTCCTTGTGATATCTCTGCCAAATGTTAGAGGTAATTTTTTTATTACACAGGTTTCAGTTACAATTAACCATAAAATTTTGTTAAACTGAACATCCTAATCTTGCTCATACTGTGTTGTAAATTCCAAATATTTTTCAGTGGAGCAGTTATTTTTTTTTAAGCACAGGAAAAAATAAAAGCCCGGCAGTTTAAAATACTTTTCCCTTTTCTTAAAGTACCACAATCCCACTGTATGAACTGATCTGCAGTTTAGCCCCCGTGTTTTGTTTGTAGTCCAGCTCTTGCCTCTGAGTGGATTCTCGTCCTGTTACCTTTTGTAATGATTGTGTTTGCTGGTGTGTTTCTTTTTCTTTTTTTTTTATTTTCGTACATTGTCCATTTTTGTACAATATTTGATTTCTCCTCTTAGGTGTAGTCCCTGTAAATCTCCCACCGCATCACCCCTGAACCATCACCACGGACCCTTGTACTCTTCCCTCCCCCGATTTTTTCCTTCGCCCTCTCCTTCCCCGCTGTGAGCCTCAGATCTGTGGTTTGCCTGCAAGTTTTGTCTTTTTCTTTTGAACTTTGTTCGGTTTCCCTCTATTCCTGCTAGAAGTGAAACCATCCGATATTTTTCTTTTGCCTTCTGACTTATTTCACTGAGCATAATCCCTTCTAGCTCCATCCATGTTGCTGCGAATGGCATGAGTTTATCTTTTTTGATCACTGTGCAGTATTCCATTATGTATGTATACCGCTTCTTCTTGATCCAGTCATCTGTTTTGGGCCTTGAGGTTGTTTCCACCTCTTGGCTACTGTAAAGAGTGCAGCAATAAATATATAAGAGAAGGTGCTGTGAGGTGGAGGGAAGAGCAAAGGGTCACCGAGTTTCTTTTCCTCCAAATCATGGTCCTGTCATTGGTTTCAAGGACTTTAATTTATGCTGTTACTTAGGCCTCTTGGCTAAAACTAGTATTTCACTTTGTCTAGCCTGCCTTTTGTCCAGTTACCATCTGTGCTCAGGTGTGTGGGGCTTCCTTTTGAATTGATGTTTTTGTGTCCCTTGGGTAGTAGATCCCTAGGAGTGCAATCACTGGGTCATATGGTAGCTCCATTTTTAGTAGTTTGAGGAACCTCCACACAGCATTCCATAGTGGTTGGACCAGTTTGCACTCCCATGCTGGTGTGTTTCCAGTGAAAGTTCTCTTGGAGATATTGGGGCTCAAATAATGAGGAACTTCTTGTTGCCATAGTTTGGATTTTGTTATTTAGCTAATCCATAATCCTTTAAGAAATGGGAATTTTACATTTATTTAAAGAGAAGTGACTGTTCAAATATTGGTTTCTGATTTACAAAGCAGTTTTTCACATACTCTGTTGAATTTTTCATTGAGCTGGAGCACGCATAATACACAGTTCACAATGAATTCTTTTATTTTTGATCTTCACAGCATTCTTGTGAAGTGTGTCTTTTCCCCATTTGTTGTTATTTTATGTCAGCTGTACCTCTTTTGTTTTTTCCACTTTTTTCTTTCACTTTTCTTTTAGTGACATAAGAGTTCAAGAAAAATCAAGTGCTATCAGCTTGTATAATTTTGAAGCCGATATAAGAAGTGTATCAGCTCTTAATTCTGAGGATGTGTGCACTGTGCATGATAGGGGTATACTGATAGTTGTTGTTGTTGGTGTGTGTGTGTGTGTAATTTGTTTCAAGATTTGGACACTGTCTTGCAACACCTTTGCTCCTAGAGGAAGATGTGGGTGAATTTTGAGGCTGATGTCGGTAAAGCAGCTTCCAAGAAAAAGGAACCTCATACTCTGGTGGTGGAATGCAGACTGCTCTGGCCCCCATGGAAAGCAGTGTGGATGTTTCTCCAAAGACTAAAAATGGATATTCCAAACAACCCAGCAATTCCACTCCTAGGTAGCGACCCCCAAAACACAAAAAATACAAAACACTAATGTGAAAGGAAATCTGCATTCCTGTGTTTATAGCACCACTATTTATAATAGCAACCTAATTGCCCAAAATAGCTGAATGGGCCGAATACCCAAAGCAGATGACTGGATCAAGGCTCTGTGGTACATACACACAGTGGAGAACTACTCAGCAGCCAAGCAAAAACTCATGCCATTTGCAGCAACATGGATGGAGCTAGAAGGACTTACATTAAGCAAAATAAGCAAATAGGAGAAAGAGAAATACTGACTGGTGTCACCTATATGTGGAACATAGAAAAACCAAACCGAGACAAACTTTAAAAACAGTCCTTAAAAACTGACCATAGATCTTTGACTTTCAGAGGTGGGGGGAAGAAGCATAGAATTGTTATAGGAATCTAAATCCAGAAAGTATTTGCAGTATATGTCCCGAGGGCAGATTGATGTATTGGCTGCTTTGAGGGACTTCATGATGATGAGACAGTCTCTGCCCTTTATGAGCTTTTCATTAGTTAAAATAAATATTCAAACCCATCTGTGTAAGATAATGTGTATTTAATAAAATCCACATGAGAAGCTCAAAAAAAGTTTCCAATTAACAAAAAGATGTACAGTCAGTTCTGTAGTCCCTTCTTTGAAGATTGCCTGCTGTGTTTGTAATAATATTTTGAATTAATATTTTCCTATGTTTGAAAAAGATGAGTTTCAACCATCTTGTGTATGAATTTACTTTGTAGATTTGAGATGAGTAGTGTTTGGTGCTTAGAAGTTCATTTTAGTTTTGCCAAAAGTTCTGTTCAATATTTTATCTATGTAGTATTCTGTACAACTCACTGTTCTTTTGCTCATCAACCCTTTTAGTTTGCCTTTATCATAGAAAAAAATGCCACATGGAATCATATATACAATTCATTCCATCCATTTGTTATTCATTCAAAAGATATTTTTGAGCACCTGCTCTGTGCCAAGCACAGTAGCAGCCTTGTGGGATGCGTCTATGAACAAACCGTATAGAAGCTTCCTGCCCTTGTGGAGCTTAGACTTTCAGGTGTGTGAACGAGGCTGTTCAGGCTTGCCAGCACTGCTCTTTTCCTGTTCCTGTTGGGTCCCATCTAGACTACATTTCTTGGTCCCCTTTTGTGCAAGGACCACATAACACCTCTCACCTGTGTCGTGTGATCAGCGTGGTGTGTCTTTCCAGAACAGCACTTTTAATCACTGGGTGCCTTTTCCATCCTCTCTGCCATCTCCATGGGGAGAATCCCATTAAGAGCCAGAGTTGGGGGGAAATCATTCAAGGAAACTGGATACTTGAATGATGGGTAGGAAAAATATTCCAACAGCTCGACTTTGATGGGAGCAGGATAGGAACTTTGTGTTTTAGTTTGTGCTGCAATAGTTAGCACTAGAAATGGGGTTCTATTCAAACCTTAGAATCTGTGTCATTGGGTTAATTGTCAGGGGGCACAGCTGATGGAGATGCTGATGTTGGAGGGAGGGAGAGGCAGAACCCACATTACATGGTGGTTTATAACCAGCTTGGTAAATTTGGCATCTGTGATTACTTGGAAGGCACACTTCATTCCAGCTGATGTCTAGGACAGATGTTGGAAAGGCTGGAGAGAGTGTGTGGCATTGGTCAGGTATTACAAGAAAGAGATGAACTTAGGAAGGAATCAGCTAGTGTTTAGGCCAAAAAAAAAGAAAGGGAGTAAAGAAAGTTCTGACTCTTGGATCTATGAAAGAAAGGACACTGCATCTAAACCCAAGAGTGGAAAAGGTGATTGACGAAGGCTTTGAGCAGCAAAGTCTGGTAAACTCAGTTGAAAAAATTGATATCATCCTGTAGCAAAGATGAGCATTCAGTGTCTGGGTTCCTCTTCGTGACTGCTTAGCAGAATCACCTAGATCCTGCCTCTGTAACTTCCGGTTAAGTGGGTGTGAAGACTCTGAAACCTGGACATAGTTCTTTATGAAGTGATTCTGTTGTGCAGCTACAGTTGGAAACCACTGACCTGATACTTCATGTGGCCTCCAGGTGGCTTGTATTAGCTGAAAACAAGAGACATGGCGGCAAAGAAAGAAATCAAGCTTGAGAATTATGTCTGGAAAAGAACTGTGTGTGCGGTTACTGGCACATGGAACTGACTGGAAACAAATGAATCAAAGGCCTACTAAGTTTTTGAGGGAATTATGTTGGCAAAGAAACCATGAATCTGGACTCAACAAGCCCTTGACTCTCTTGAGCTGTAAAACCACTTTT